TCGGAATGGATTAAAAATTGTTTATCTAAATGTATTAAGCGTACTTTTCCTGCAGCTGACTTACAACTATTTTTTACCAGCCGAAATATGATTAGACAATGCGTCAAGGATACTTTACCGCTTTTGTCCACATCCATGTGTATTTACTCTTTTACCTGCTCTTGTGGAGCTGTTTATATTGGACGTTGTAAGCGTAATCTCCGAAAACGTGTAGCTGAACACTATCCAGTCTGGTTAATGAAAGGCGAACGTAGAACTGCGAAGTCGTCTATTTGTGATCACCTGTTAGAGTCAGGTCATTTAGCCCCACGTGATTCATCGTTCAAAGTTATCTACATGGCAAAATCGAATCGACCCAAAAGTCTACGTTTTCTTCACTTATGCATAGCCGAAGCTTTAGCTATACATGAACAGAAACCTAAATTATGTGTTCAAAAACGTTTTGTCAAACCCCTTTCTTTACCTTGGTCATAGTAATGTTCTTTCTAGTTTTTACCTTATTTTATTTATCACTTGAATTCTTTCCACTTCACATCTTCATTCTTATCGTAATCGTACTCCTAATTTTTTAAAATTTTTAGACAACACTTGACATTTTTAGAACATTTTTGATATGAATTCACTTATAAAACAATCTTTAATAATTTTGTAATTTATCCACTTCAACTCTACCCCTTATAACATTTTAATTATCGTTATTCTTATGTATATTGAATGAGCAATTATTTAGTGCCACTTAATGACCTTTTCTGTAATATAAATGCGTCTGTACAACTTGAAAATGAAGTCGTTGAAAAGAAATTTCTTCGCTGAACAAAAAACCTGCTCTTCATCAGGCTTTACAGTTATGTTTACATTATAGTGAATGAATGAATTAGTCTTATGAACAACATTAATGCTGTTGTTCAAAATTCAATGAAGTACATTCGGCTATGAAATTCACGTGTGAAGAGGAATCCCAAAACAGAATTGCCTACCTGGATTTCCTCCTAACAAGAAAATCAGACGGTAGCATAAAAAGAAATTTGTACAGAAAAAGCACTTGGACAGGACAATATACACATTTTCACAGCTTCATTCCTCTCAAGTACAAAAAAAAGGTTAGTAGAGACCCTCAGCCACAGGGTTAGAGCTATATGCTCAGAATAAGTAATTGAAGATGAATTAAGCATTGTATATATGATACTTTGATTGATTGAAAATAGCTATCCCGACAAATTTATCAGGAAACACATGACAAAGAGAGCGGAAAAGGACTATTCTACATCGGTAAATAAGAAGCCTGTTTATGATCGACTGCAATTCAACGGTGATATACCAAGTGAAATAGATATCAGAATAAAACTTGTGCACTGTGGTAGAGTGTAATTCCATTACGGGTAAATTTTTGTTTTGATAAAGTCTCACAGTGTTATACAGTAATGTTTACTGATGACCACGTTTCGAGCACAATTTATTGCTCTTCATAATTATATCAAGGTAATCAGACGACTTCCTAAATTCATTTATATAGTTCCATTGTTTTTCACTTGATTTGATTCGTAGTATTATTTTCCATATTTCGGGTATGAGTGATGAGTCATTCCTATTGCATGTGTTGTGTGCAAGTTGTTCTGTGGACAAGGATTCAGTAATCAACCTCTCTCTTCACCTACCTAGATTTCTAAAAAGTAATCTAGGTGAAAATCAAGTGAAAAACTACGGAACTATATAAATGAATTTAGAAAGTCGTCTGATTATCTTGATATGATTATGAGCAAATAAATTGTGCTTGAAACGTCATCAGTAAACATTGCTGTATAACACTGTGAGACTTTATCGAAACAAAAATTTACCCATAATGGAACCAAGTGAGATAATTACGAGGAAATTAAGAAAATCAGTCCAAAGAACTTCTAATGCTGGCGAACTACACGTATTATTCTCTACACGACCGATGGTGATGATTCCTCGACTGAAAGATGAAGTACCTAGACTAGGTAGCCACTTCAAATTGTATCTAACAATCCAACTTCGCTTGTGGTGCAGCGAGTTATATCGACCGTTGCTCTAGGGACTTGATTTTTCGTGCTCACTCGAGAACATCTCCCACTATGGCTAAGTAAAGGTGTAGTCAGAACCATCAACAGTTCGATATTAGACCATCTTGTCCAGACCGGCCGGCCACGAAGCCAGCCATCATTGAAGAATTCTTCACCATCATCATCTACTGAGTGACAAATAAACTGCCACAAAACATCGAGGCACCGCATGCTCCAAACAACAGAGGCTGTCGCAATTCGCCTGGAACAACCAGTCAGTGCTTAGTGTGCAAAAGAAGCAAGTCCAGCTAGCCACTACTACTGCCCTGGCCGGACTTCAGTAGAGACTATAAATTCATGCATGAATTTGTAATATTATCTTTCCTAATTTTCTGATATTCAGTGTATATTGTTATGCTGAACTGTAATCCACCGATGTTATTGATTCGATGTTATTTAAACAACATCAATGTTGTTCATAATACTAATTCTTTTATTCATTCACTATAATGTATATATAGCTGTAGAGCCTGATGATGAAAGGGCTATCGAAAAGAGTACTCTTTGTTCAGTATCCATTTCTTAATAATTATTTATTTATTAGTCAGGTAAACAATCACACAGACTTCAATACAGTGACAGATGCTGCCTGCTACTGAGCTTATGTTGCAGCACAGTTTGTTGACATGATTTTACTTTGAATATCACTATTGAAGTTATATTATTAACTGTCTCTGTCAACCGGGTTCTTGAATACACGCTTCCATATCATCGGATATCTTCTGAATGCCTAGGTGAAGCCATGGAATTCACTAGTTAGCTGCTGCTGAACGATCATCAATGATGTTACACAGGTATCCGTCTGAACAATAGTGTGGTCTGTCACAGCACTAACTAACAGTACTTTCACTGGACAGTTTCCATTTGAAACGATGCACACGGTAAATGTCCTTTACTGTAGAAAGGTAGTGTAATACGAAACCAGTTTATCGAAAAGGCGGTTGACCTGGTGAAATGTCAACTACAGACAAGAATGTTAAAGCCAATTAAATGAGTCGACAAGATTGTTCTCTTGTAATAAGAAAATTGCCCTGTCGCTGCATTCACAGTTGAGATCAATTCTATTAGTACATGTATGATGAGATTAAACGAAAGTAGTGAGTGATATTGGACACCACTGATTATCACCAATTCAGATAACACTCCACTCCGTAAGCTGTTTTACACAACTAAGTGATTTCAAACAGAGTGTTTTCATTAGTGTGATATACTCTTGTCGGTACTCCCCTCTTGACCAAAACATGGCCACAGTCTGTCTCGGTTGACAAAAATGAATCCCGCCACCAGGTCAAGAAATAGGGCAAGTGTGCCAAAGTTACAAAATATGTTGAAGAGTGAAAATATGATCAATACATCCTCTTACAGGCCTGAAGCCTACCTAGTTTTCCCATATTTGTTTCTTTTGAATGACGCTCAGTCTACGCATGATTATCGAACCTACAACTTTAGACAGTCATTAGTTAAGCTTATGTACCTACGATTATCATAGGAAGACTTGTCTCCCTTCTCACAAACTGGGATAATCAATGATTTATACCAATCTAACAGAACTACCATTGATTCTCTGACATTAATTTTCAAGTATTGGTTTTGTAGGAATTTTGTTTGATTGGCTTGGCTGGAGGATTTCATCATGAGCTGACATCAGTTAGAGAACTACTGGAAAACCTGCAGGGAGTACTGGACAGCTGTTTCGTCCCAGTTTGGGACTCTTCTCAGTACGCACCCACCGGGATTCGAAACCGAGGTTCTTCTGGTTACAAGGTGAGCTCGTAGACCATTGAGCCACTGGGACCCGATCCAATGGTCCTTGAATTCTAACTTCTGCCAATTCACGACACAGCCGTGACCAGTAGGGTACAGCAGGTTGAAGATGAGGCAGTAACTCATCGAAGAAGACATTGCGAAATGGTCACGCTATGTCGTGAATTGAGAGAAGTTAGAATTCAAGGACCACTGGATCGGGTCCCAGTGGCTCAATGGTCTATGAGCTCACCTTGTAACCAGAAGAACCTCGGTTTCGAATCCCGGTGGGTGCGTACCGCTGCAGAGTCTCTGACATTGCGTGATAACTTAGTAAACCCAGATAACAGTTGCTCACCACTGTCTTCCGGAGTCATTCCATCAGGTCCTGTGCTGCTTTGCATCGTTTAATCACAGGATATGGAAGCGTGCAGTATAACATCTTCAATAGTAGTTATTTTATTAGAGTTTGACATCCTTTCGGTTATGAATGTAAACAACACCTTTTGTTTTCAAGTTTATACGTCGGTAGCCCAGCGGTTAAGACTCTCGCCGACCATGCACATGGTTCGGGGTTCGACCCCTGCCAACGCACACCTGATACCAATGGTCGGCCTGCAAAATTTGGGCCACCGATATCACACGCTGAAAATTCCATACTTGTACCAAAATAGGTGTGGAGTCAAACTATAAAATTGATCCTGAATCCACTAATACTGATCCCGTTGTGACAAAAAGAGATTTTTCAAGTAATTCTCCTGAAGAAGCTGTGATCTTCACATCGAAAAGTTCAGAAAAATCTTCTGAATTTTTCATAATGAAGCTACAGAACTATACCCTACTGATTAACTGACTTAACTATGCTACTTCAGACATTTGAACACTAGATGGTCGTTTTGCGCAGTCAACGTCGAGATCATCAGCTGTGTACCCGGTTTAACTCAGCTGAGCGAGCGAAGAAGAGAGAGAGAGAGAGCCGAACCAGTTCAAACAACCCCGATTTCGGTGTCTAGACTGCAAACTGTGAATTTGATTTATGCTACAGAACTTATTTAAAAGTGTTAAAAAAACCACTCCATGATAACACATTTTTAAGAAAGCAATGCGAAATCGTCAATCGATAAGGAAGAGAAAAAAAATGTTATAACGATAATCAAAGGGGTAACTAGAACTAACCTTTCAGAATCGCGACAAAGTAAGTGCCGACAGCTATGCTGATTGTTATTTACAGCGCATGGATCAGCTTCGAATGCCAGCAGAGCACGAATCACGTGAATCGAAGTGTTATACTAAATCAATGAAGGGTAACAAGAACAACATATACAATAATATTCACTGAAGGGTATTAACTTTCAAATGCAAAAACAAAAAAATTGATGATTGAAAAGAAAAAATTCTGCTTTATTAACATGTGCAATGTTTGTTTTAAAAACAAATCTACCTAGTTTGCACTTATTTCTCTCTCTTATTATGTTACTTTATTTGATCTAATACACAGTGAAATAGAATTAGTTAGAAGGCGATGTTTTTAAGAACAGTTTACCAGTTATACAACTTTTTAACATGCTCTGGAGCAGATTTCTTCTACGTGTTATTGTTACAGTGACGGGACATCATTGGTATAAGAATAAAACTTCTGCACTGCGGTAGAGTATAATTCCATTATGGGTATGATTTTAATTTTGATAAAGTCTCACAGTGTTATACAGTAATATGTTTACTGTTGACCACGTTTCGAGCACAATTTATTACTCCTCATAATCATATCACATCAGGACACTACTCACACAACTTTCTAACTTCCCTTATATACTTCCATTATTTTTCATCACTTGACTCGATTGGTAGTAGTATTTTCCATATTTCCAGTATGAGTGATGAGTCATTCCTATTGCACGTGTTGGGTGTAGATTCGATGAACAAGGATTCAGTAATCAACCTCTCTCTCTCCACCTACCTATATTACTTCTTAGAATTTCAACCCTCTCCCACCCTATTGTGTGGTTGTGTGTTAATGCATGCAGTGCAATTGCTGAGCTTTTTTCTAAATTACTCATCTTCTCTGGGTCAGTCATTCTAACCTTAGCTAAATTCTTATGTTCCGACAATCTGATTACCTGAAAATCCCCATTCAGTCAAAAAAAAGAAAAGAAGGCGTTCAGCGAAGAGATCAAACTTCTCCACATCGCAGAAGCAATGGCAATTCATCTGCTAAATCCTGAACTCTGCATACAAAAGAAATTCGTTCATTCATTAAATCTACAATGGACGTAATCTTTCTTAATTTCAGTCTTACTATTTCGATAAAGAAAGGAAGACGAAATTTATCAAGGGAACCAGTTGTATGAAATTGTATTATTTTGTCTTTTGCATTTTATTATTTCACATCTTCATTTATATTATTCTCTACCCCCACCCTTATTTAATTTTAACCACCACTCATTAACACTGTTGCCAACCTGACCTACTCTGAATTCTACTCAACTGTATTACGTCATCCAATTCACTTAATCAATTCTATTTTATTTTCCATCTAAATGTTTGTTTCCAAGCCAAATAATACTTATTTATATTACATAATTATCTAAACTTTATAAATCTAATGTACACAAACAAAATTATATATATATGCGATTGTACAACTCAGTGAATGAATTCGCCGAAAAGAGTCTCTTCGCTGAACGCCTTTTCTTTTATATAATCTGATTACCCCCGATCTACTAGTTTGACTGACCTATGTATTTGACCTAACAGTCATTATAGGGTATTTCGTAAATTATATTATTTTGTCTAAGTGACACTGTGAGACTTTATCAAAACAAATTTTACCCATAACGGAATTTTACTCTAACAAGCTCTGTAAGTTAAATGACCCTGTCGGTTGACCCAATGAGCGAAGAGTCCCAAACTGGGACGAAACAGCTGTCCAGTACTCCCAGGTTTTTCAGTGGTTCTCTAACTGATGTCAGCTCATGATGAAATCCTCCATGCAATCAAACAAATCCCTACAAACCAATACAACAAAATAATATAATTTACAAAATACCCTGCAATGACTGTGAGTGAGGTCAACTACATAGGTCAGTCAAACTAGTAGGTCGGGGGTAGTCAGATTGTCGGAACATAAGAATTCATCTATGAATTATTCTATATATGACATTAATTTGCTTTCACTTGACATTAACTACGATTATAATCAAAAACATTTTAGTTTTAATTGCATTCATATATCAATTCCCTCACCGGATATAACTTCTTAAAAACCATAATATACGATTGTACAGCTTGATGATAAATTCATTGAAAAGAGTCTCTTCGCTGAATCATTTGTTTTGATTTTCTATATGTTACAATGGGAATTTTCCATGATTTAAATTAGCTAAGGTAAGAATGGTTGACCCAGAGAAGATAAGTAATTTAGAAAAAAGCTCAGCACTACATTGCACTGCATGCATTAACACACAACCACACAATAGCATGGTGGGAGAGGGTTAAAATTCTAAGAAGTAATCTAGGTAGGTGGAGAGAGGGAGAGAGAGGTTGATTACTGAATCCTGCCTGGTTCATCGAGTCTACACCCAACACACACGCAATAGGAATGACTCATCACTCATACCGGAAATATGGAAAATACTACTACCAATCGAGTCAAGTGATGAAAAATAATGAAATTATATAAGGGAAGTTAGAAAGTTGTGTGAGTAGTACCTTGAGGTGATATGATTATGAACAGTAATAAATTGTGCTAGAAACGTGGTCACATCAGTAAACATTACTCTATAACACTGTGAGACGAACAGTACTTATAATACAGAATGGAATTCTCAGAATTTGTCACAATATTGCGTCTGATTTACTCAAAATATAAATAAAATTAACCAGAGGAATTGTCCACATTTATGCTATACATTCAAAAATATTCGAAGTACAAATGAGACTATTAATAATAATAACAGTGAGTTTGTTTCGAACACTATTGTCGATTCAATTATAGGTTTCCAGGCCGTATGTGTTACGATCTTCCTGGAATAATTTGAGCGCCGAGTCAGATTGATTCATTCATTATAAATTATTTAAATTAATCCCAGCGTGTTAAGAAAATCAAAACAAGATCTGTTTTCTGAACGTTTCGCTGTGTAAGCCACAGCTTCTTCAGCAGATTTATTCAGATTTTTATTCATCATCAAAATACATAGTCAAAAATTTCAAATAAACTGACTTCAATTTATGTAAAAAAATTTCTCACTACATAATTTGATGATTAATAAAAATCCGAAGGAATCTGCTGAAGAAGCTGTGGCTTACACGGCGAAACGTTCAGAAAACAGATCTTGTTTTGATTTTCTTAACACGCTGGGATTAATTTAAATAATTTATAATGAATACAATTAGTAAGTTTAGATGAACTGGATGTTGATATAAGAGAGTAGTAACAAAAGTGATGAGTTGTCACAAACGATTGTTAAAAAAGAGTTACGTAATAACATGAATAGTTTAATGAAAGAGTTGTACTCAAGGTGTACATGGAAACAAAATATACGGAATTACACAAACAAAGAAAAGTTAAGTTTGTTTGTTTGATTTGACTTAACTTTTGTTTGTATGCTTATTTTTCTAACTACTTAAAACCCTTGTGTAATTCCGTATATTTTGTTTCCATGTACACCCTGAGTACAACTCTTTCATTAAACTATTCATGTTATTACGTAACTCTTTTTTAACAATCGTTTGTGACAACTCATCACTTTTGTTACTACTCTCTTATATCAACATCCAGTTCATCTAAACTTACTAATTGTATTCATTATAAATTATTTAAATTAATCCCAGCGTGTTAAGAAAATCAAAACAAGATCTGTTTTCTGAACGTTTCGCTGTGTAAGCCACAGCTTCTTCAGCAGATTCCTTCGGATTTTTATTAGTCATCAAAATATATAGTCAAAAATTTCAAATAAACTGACTTCAATTTATGTAAAAAAATTTCTCACTACATAATTTGATGGTTAATAAAAATCCGAAGGAATCTGCTGAAGAAGCTGTGGCTTACACGGCGAAACGTTCAGAAAACAGATCTTGTTTTGATTTTCTTAACACGCTGGGATTAATTTAAATAATTTATAATGAATACAATTAGTAAGTTTAGATGAACTGGATGTTGATATAAGAGAGTAGTAACAAAAGTGATGAGTTGTCACAAACGATTGTTAAAAAAGAGTTACGTAATAACATGAATAGTTTAATGAAAGAGTTGTACTCAAGGTGTACATGGAAACAAAATATACGGAATTACACAAACAAAGAAAAGTTAAGTTTGTTTGTTTGATTTGACTTAACTTTTGTTTGTATGCTTATTTTTCTAACTACTTAAAACCCTTGTGTAATTCCGTATATTTTGTTTCCATGTACACCCTGAGTACAACTCTTTCATTAAACTATTCATGTTATTACGTAACTCTTTTTTAACAATCGTTTGTGACAACTCATCACTTTTGTTACTACTCTCTTATATCAACATCCAGTTCATCTAAACTTACTAATTGTATTCATTATAAATTATTTAAATTAATCCCAGCGTGTTAAGAAAATCAAAACAAGATCTGTTTTCTGAACGTTTCGCTGTGTAAGCCACAGCTTCTTCAGCAGATTCCTTCGGATTTTTATTAGTCATCAAAATATATAGTCAAAAATTTCAAATAAACTGACTTCAATTTATGTAAAAAAATTTCTCACTACATAATTTGATGATTAATAAAAATCCGAAGGAATCTGCTGAAGAAGCTGTGGCTTACACAGCGAAACGTTCAGAAAACAGATCTTGTTTTGATTTTCTTAACACGCTGGGATTAATTTAAATAATTTATAATGAATACAATTAGTAAGTTTAGATGAACTGGATGTTGATATAAGAGAGTAGTAACAAAAGTGATGAGTTGTCACAAACGATTGTTAAAAAAGAGTTACGTAATAACATGAATAGTTTAATGAAAGAGTTGTACTCAAGGTGTACATGGAAACAAAATATACGGAATTACACAAACAAAGAAAAGTTAAGTTTGTTTGTTTGATTTGACTTAACTTTTGTTTGTATGCTTATTTTTCTAACTACTTAAAACCCTTGTGTAATTCCGTATATTTTGTTTCCATGTACACCTTGAGTACAACTCTTTCATTAAACTATTCATGTTATTACGTAACTCTTTTTTAACAATCGTTTGTGACAACTCATCACTTTTGTTACTACTCTCTTATATCAACATCCAGTTCATCTAAACTTACTAATTGTATTCAT